TAGATTGAATGGAAATCTGTGGCATAATTAAATTAATACAATTTTTAAATTTTTTTATTTTTATTTAATAAAAGGTATATCCCATAAGAGACCAACAAGCCAATCAATATAATTTAGAGACTCTGAAAAAGCTGCTATAGTGAGATTAGTGAGATCCTTCCAGAATTGAATAACCAATTAATTGGCATCCTCCAAAAGGTGAAAACAATGTTCTCCGTCACCATGCAAATGAGTATCAACATGTTTATAAATAACTCAGCGCATATAGACAATCATCTTCCTCAGTGACTCATTGCTTACCAGGCTTTATCTTAATGTTTCTAACCTAATGATATCATATTATCTGAGAAATGTCGACCCGAAATTATGGGGTAAACATGAACACTTCTACAAAACTAAAGAGGTGTAAACAGTGGACTAGACGGAATAGTAGGAGTGAAGTGGAGTGACAGGACGTAAGATGAGGGGCATTTAGACTATGTTTAGATAGCTGGATCTAATGTTCAGATTGTCAAATTACACTGCATCTTTCAGAATGGCAAAAGCTGGACACTGAAGAAAGAAACTGGCGTCAAAATCTGACCTCTGACACGTTGTGTTCAGCACATCACAGTATGGAGCTGTAGTTTCAGTGGGAAGCATAAGCTGGCCTCTTTTTTTATCCATATTTCCATCATCGGAACACCAATAACTGTATTTCATCTCATGCGAATCCTTCTCCTCTTCATCTCCCCCTAATGACAAAGATAGCGTGTAATGCGATTGCACTGTCACTGTGCTAATCCCACATATGACTTTTTGTTTGTTTGTTTGTTTTTCTGGTAATCTTCTGTGCCCTGTGTGTGGCCTCACATGCTGTACTTCATAAACGATGGCCATCACAGCTATTAACCTCTGAGAGTGGCTTGGGGGTTTGTAAAAATCTGCAGGTCTAAGTGGAAGAGTGCTGGGAAATCCTGCCTGGTGCTGAGTTGAGCTGTGCTGAGGTGATGTGTGCGAGTTCAGTCGAGATCACAGCTCACCTGTGGGTGCATCTCTCACTCTCAGAAACACCTCTCAGGCTGTTGGAAGTGTGAAGAGAGCCATTTTCCTATCAAGCTTCACCGCCACATTCAGTAGCATGTGTTATGCAGCTACACCCCATAGATAACAAGTCTAGAAGGTTCCCATAAAGTGCTCATGGAAACAGCATCACAGGCACATACTTGCACAAGCTTGAAAAATGCTGGCACAATTGGGGATAAAAGCTTGCATATTACTGTAAAATGTACCTGGAAAAGGACAGTTATTACTGGCAGCAGTTTCTCTAGTATGGTGATGTTTATTTACAGTACTGATACTGCGATTTACAATTACAGCACTTTTCTGTATTCCAAATATACAGGGTATTAATGTGTTGTTTTTATTTACAGGCATTGTTTATACAGTACCATTGCAATGTACTGTAATTTATTATTTTCGAAACAATAACTGTAATTACATAAAACTGTAGTCTACTGTAGATACCATAGTGTTGACAAAGGTCAATACCTTTATATCTAGTTTATAGCTAGTTATAGCAATTTCAAGCAAACAGTATCTTATGCCTAACAAAGGCTTTTAACCCAATGTTCGGTTTAATGTAACATTACGGGATGAATTAGCTAACTGAAATGTATATTTGATGAATAACAAGTTCAAACAAAAAACCTGGGTAAAATGAACTGTACATGAAGAAATAATATAATAAACTATATAATAAACTACTGTAAAATCCAACATTTTAACTGTGTTCCAAACGCTAGACTGCAGCCAAGCCATGTCAGTAGCACTGTCCTATGAAGGTTCCTCATTTGTATTTTTATATATATATATATATATATATATATATATATATATATATATATATATATTTGTATTATTAACTAATGCAAAACAGAACAATCTACGAAGACCACTTTGTCACATTATTGGAAAGGAGCCAGTACTCTAAATTTCTAACATCTAACTGAAGCGCATTGGTCAAGCTACCATGCAGTGATGTATCTAGGAATTCCAGAAAGCCTGGAGTGACCACTCATTGAAAATCAAAACATGAATAGATGCTTCTACTGTCACTTCTTAATATGCTGGTGGGTAATTTGACACATTAGGCCTTTCGTTCAGCTCCTGAAGTCCTAACCAATGGGAAGACTAGCTTGGCTGTATCTAGGTAGATCTACCTAGATACAGCCAAGCTAGTTTTCCCATTGGTTAGGACTTTATATATAGGGGTTAGGGCTGTATATACCCAGATACCACAGAGAAAAAGAATCCTGATTGGATAATTTTCTGTTGGCCAAGCAAATCACTGATGCAAATGATGTAACATGGCAGACAAAGGACTAACTTGTTTGTAATTAAATTCTATCTTACAATCTAAAAACTGATTAAAAGCAGGTGCATTTCACATCCTGCAATCGATTTATACTGTCTTAAGCAGATACACCAATAAAGAAATGGAATATTTTACTAAACATTTTGCTATCCTTTATAAACCATGTGTAGTTGGTGCTGGAATTTTTCTCTTTCTTGAGGCCAAAAAGTGTGTGCAAAAGACCCTGGTTGACAGAACACCATGAAAGATGTTCCAGCAGCATCTTAAAAACTACCAGAAGGTTTCCTGCATTTCTTGACTGCATTTAATTGATCGTTCTTATTGTAACAGCCTTCAATGACGTAGCGGTCTAAAAAAGCAGCCCACTTGGACAGCAGCCTAGCTTTCAGGACGCAGCTTTTAACTTCTTTAACAAGAAGCTTGACCTGTGTCTCCCAGAATGCATCATTCTTCACAGCAATCTGCTGCTTTCAATCTGTACATAAGAAAAACAGTAGATTACTGCAGGATTTCCGCTGTATGTTTACAGCAGTTTCCTACAGCGTAGGCTCCGAAAAGAGGTTCATAAAAGGTCTGTCATGAAGCTCTGGATACAATCACTCCAATATAAAACCTTTCTAATGGTTACTTTACGTTCTTTGCAGCCTTAACCTCATCAATGTAGTAATAAAAACAATAATACAAAACTGTTCTGGAAGCTGCGTGAGTCATGGCAATAGGGCTGTGGAACCTTTACGATCACAAGGTTACAGGTTTGCATTCCTTCATGCTTTATCAAAGGCATAAGATGAAAGATCGGGGGGGGAGATGAAGAGGAGGGCTGCAGGATTGCAAGAGGACTCGCATGGGATGAAATGTAGTCATTGGTGTTCTGATGATGGAAATACTGATGAAAAAAGAAGTTGAAATCTGTCAATGCGACATTAGCTCCAAGATATATAGTCCAAGCTTTTGGGTTACGACATAGAAAGCCTTTCAGTGCCCTGTAGAACCACTTCTTGAGACGAGAACCCTCAAACAGTTTTGCCTGAAGCTTTATCGTGTAAACATGTGGGGGTTAATAACAGTGCATGTCTGAATTACTTCAAGAAGTATTATCTACTCTTTGTATGGTAGTCAATTCAGTGTAACACAAATGCTTAATTAATGACAGCTTTCCGTCATAATGTTTGGTCTATTACCTTCATATGGATGAACACAGTGTAGCTCATTAGTCAAACTGACCTTCTTAGGGCTGTGAAGCAATTAGTGTGCCATTAAGACTGTTGTAGGTAAGTACAATGAAGACGGATAGAGAGTACATAATTACTCTGTTCTTTTTAATAAGACATATGGGACTTTCATAACACAATGGTTAAGCAAATGTATTGAGAAATTGCACTAAGCATGTGGGTGAATGCAATGCAATGCTTAGGCTGCAAACATATATGAAATATTAAAATCAAAATACAACTCATATAGCTGGAACTATGGCAATGGGAGGGTAAAGCGGGGGTGTTATTGCACTGGGGCCCACAGTACAGGGAGGGCCACGCCGACCAGGCCCTCAAAAATCTATACAGATATATCTATATGGATACTGACACAACTGCACATTGTGCACATATCCCACCAGTCAGCTTCCATCAACACCACACAGACAGCCCTGACATCTATTTATCTCCATCTCATTTATAATGTGTCTCATCCATAGCAACAGCTTTCAAACGGATCCTTCACAACCTGCGACATGATATAGTCATTATTTACAATTCTACAATATTAAATAGTCACTGTAATGTAAGCATTTCATGTAAAGCTTGTATGCTGGTGGGTGGAGCACGCCTTGAGAGCATCAGTTTCTTTGAGACGTTGCAATAGTGAGAAAACAATAATTTTCTCAACAGAAAACAAGAAAAACATATTTTTTTAGCCATTGAGTCACTTTTATATGAGGGGGCCACTATTGTCTAACTGAGGCACATGAGATCCTAGTTACACCACCGTGGTAGAGCATTTCTTCCGTGTCGGAGTGACAAAATCACAGAGATCTGAGTCTAAATATCAAAGAAAAAAGATCTTTCTTGCTCTATCATGAGGTCAGCATGAGTGTTCCAGTACAGAGGAGGACAGACTATGTTCTCTCACACACACAGAGCTGCTTCTGCTGCACCTCCACACCAAACAACTGCAAACTGAAAGAGAAGAGACTGATTTAACTCTCTGTCATCACTTCTCTCTCACTGTCTCTCACCCTCTCTATCCTATCTCTCTCTTTCTCTATTTCTCTGTATGTATATATCTGTCTGTTTCTCTCACTTTCCTATTTCTTTCTTTCTATATACGTATTTCTCTCTCTCATTAATATTTCAGGCAAAACTGCAGTCAGAACTCAGCTGAAGGCTGTGATAATGATCATGTCCTCAGTCTGTAAGACTGTAGAGCCTCACAGCTGGCCGGTTACCGCGCCTCAAACACCGGGACGGAGTGAATACGGAGGAAAAGAAAACTCAGAAAGAAATGAAGCCGCTCTAGTTTCAGTGCTCGAACGACTCCAGTTTCACCGAAAGCTGCTGTAGTTTCCCCACAAAATTTAGGGAGAAAAGAGAAGCTGAGCGGATTCCAGCGGACACAGACAGACGGAACAGGGCTGAAGTTGATTTACCTGCTCTGGTCGCGGATTCGGGCTGAAAGACAGGCGGCCGCTCCGAGGCTGAAAAGCAGAGCCCAACTTTTGACGGAGACTTTAGTATTCCTTCTTCTTCTTTTCTCTCTCTCCTCTCTCTGTTTTCTCTGTTTCGTAGTTCTGACAGTGCTGAAGTGGTCGCGCGCCGCTCGCGCTCTAACGCGCCGCCTCCGCCCCGCCCACCAGCAGCACGAGAACAAGAAATAATCTAAAAACCCCAGCTTTCATCTGGAGCCCAGAGTCTGTGGCTTCTTTCTCTCTCTCTCTCTCTCTCTCTCTCTCTCTCTCTCTCTCTCTCTCTATCTATCTATCTATATTTCCCCTCTCGATATATCTCTCTTTCACCTTTTATTTCTCTCTTTTACCATTGACATCTATCTATCTATCTATCTATCTATCTATCTATCTATCTATCTATCTATCTATCTATCTCTGTTTCCCACTCTTTAATCTTTTCTTTCATTCTCTCTCTCTTTATCTCTCTTTCTGTCAAGCTATATATGTGGAAACATATTTCTCTCAGTTTCTCTTTCTTTTCGCTTATTTCTTTCTTTCTTTATCTATCTATCTATCTATCTATCTATCTATCTATCTATCTATCTATCTATCTATCTATCTATCTATCTTTCTTTCTTTCTTTCTTTCTCTCTCTCTCTCAAGATATATATATATCTGTTTCTCACTTTTGCCATCTATCTATCTATCTATCTATCTATCTATCTATCTATCTATCTATCTATCTATCTATCTATCTCTATTTACTATTATCTATCACTATCACAATTTCTTTCTCTCAAGCTATATATGTATACATATGTGTATGTCTATTTCTCTTTCTTTTGGGTTATTTCTTTATCTATCTATCTATCTATCTATCTATCTATCTATCTATCTATCTATCTATCTATCTATCTATCTATCTATCTATCTATCTGTCTATCTATCTATCTATCTATCTATCATTTATATTTCTATGTGTATCTTACTTTGGCCATGTCTTTCTTTCTTTCTTTCTTTCTTTCTTTCTTTCTTTCTTTCTATCTATCTATCTATCTATCTATCTATCTATCTATCTATCTATCTATCTATTTTTGACTGTTTGCTGTGAAGTGTGTTGCTCCCTACAGTGAATTACAGAAACGCTGACCCCGTTGACCCCTAGTATATTAAAGCAATACAGTTAAAAAAAGGTTTTTGGTGATGACACATCCGTCTATAATCATCATCACTCATTTCACTGAACAAAAATTGACGGCGTAAGAGAGAGCGGCATGCTCCAGTTTCCAAGCAGGCCTATTTCATAGTCCACCAACCGTGCACAAAATCACCACGCCTAGCAGATTGAGAGTGGACAGGATTAGCGCATGGGATTAAAATGCAACAAACATCATTGCATTATCTGCGCATCAGGAGGAAGAAACATTGGCGTAATCGCTGAAGTCTTTCACTTGCATTCATGTGATCAGTGCTTTTCATATGAAGCTATAAACTCCATTATTTCACTCTAAAGCAGCAACACATAGACACATACACCGATGGGCTTTATTACTAACAGGGTCAGGTCAGATGTCACAGGAGACCTTAGAAGATTTCTACAGAAGCAATGCATAAATGTGGAAGTAAAAGTGTTTTTAAATCTTTCAGAGTTAGTGTCAGCCATTAGTGGGTCGTTCTCTCTGACAGAGCTTTGAGGATGTTCTCCTGTTAAGAGTATCTGGTCATGTTGGGTAACAGAGTGAGACTCTGCTTAAGCGGATGGGCCATTGAACTACCCCGCGGCAGAGCAGCAATCATACACTACTGTGTGCCAATGGACTACAGACAGATGGCTGTGTAATTATGCAGAAACTAACCCGAGTGTGTGTGTGAGTGTATGTGTGTATGTGTGTGTGTGTGTGATTTTTAATGTCAGCTCCTGGTTTTCAAGCTCTTAAAATACCAAGCTGGAGACGGCAATATAGTCTATCAGTGCTGAAGCCAGCTGTCTTCCAAACATTTACTGTAAAGCAGTTTTTTCAGCCCAGCCTTATAGGTTTACACTACATCTGTATTTTAGGAAGAATGAATTGCTGTGAATCTAATTGATGGAGTTTATCCTGAAATAGAAAGGCCTGAGTGACAGCAGTAAATCTCTAAGAAGAACTGTAGCATTTCTGTCCGATATCTTGTGAGACTGACTTTCATGAGTGCTACTTTGTTTGCTGCACTCTAAATATTCTTACATAATCTTCAGAATATTCAGCAGCAGAGGAGACTTAACCGTGGTATGCTTTGTATGCTGTGGCCTTCTTCCTTTCTTTCAGCATAATTAGGTATGATGCAACAGAGCAGTCACTTCTTTTTTTGTTCTTTAGGATGCGACTTAAAGGAAATCAGTGGTGTCTGTGTGAAACCTGTAATATTGCGCCGTTATGCTACTATGAATCTATGAATCACAAAAGCCGATGAATCAATAGGGTGATTATAGGCGATGTACAATGAAACTGATTGTGACAAGAGAAGAGACTGATCTGATTCTCAGTCTCAGCCCAATACCGGCTGTAAATGCTGAATCTGATACTGGAGGGCCAAAAAAGAACAAATCTATGTAACAAATCTAGTCTGAGATGTCACACAATTATATGTAGCACAATGTAACGAAGAGCAAACTAACATAGGTCATATGATAGCAAAGGTAGCCACATATAGCTACATCAAAATGGGCCTTTTTACTTTGTTAGTTAATGTCTCCGGTGATTATTAAGCATGATTCATCATATCATACACTCTCAGAAATAATGGTACAAAACTGTAACTGGGGCAGTACCCCTTTTTCACTGGGGTGCATCTCAGTACCTTTAGTCAGGGAACATAACTGTACCATAATCCATTGAAATGTCATTTTCTAACCCTAACCCTTGACTCCACACACCCCATCTCGTCTCCATGCTTTTTATTTTATTGCTCTGTTTTAAAACATTAGGTTATGAAAAGGTATAAATATGTACTTTTCACCTGGAAAAATGTATTTAACACACAGAATTGGACCTAAAACCACTGTTGTACCTTTGAGGGAACATTTATGTTGTTACACTGATGAACGAAAAATGTACCTGCACAGCACCTTTATTTCTAACAATGTACCAGACATAATTCTTGTTTTCCCATAATCTTCCATCAAAATGTAATTTTTTGATTACATCACCGTAAACCAGTGGCCGGGGAACAATAACATTAACAAATAGATCAACATCATGTTTCTATGCACCCTCCCAACTCTGCACAGGTTTGCACACACTTGCACTGTAAGTGATAATTCTGTTTTTTCTTGAGAAAGCATTAATAGATAAATGATAAAAATGCCATCATATTGTTGGCTATGTATTTCTTTCTGTAGTGGCGAAGCATAGAGTGTTTGTTTGAACAGTTTAAGCATGGTGCTTTTAGACGACCATCATAAAGGAAGCTATTTAATAAAAAAAATAGCTGAACTAGAGATGGCATATCGGTATCGATGGGTATCGACAGGCAGATACCAGCAGAAGATGCTGGATCAGATATTGGAGAGAAAAAGAATAAGTCTGATCCTGTAATGAATCTAGCCTGAAATACCACAAGCTCACATTGTGTGATGGTGTCAGGTGGCAGTGTTTGGGTAGTTTCAGCATGATAGCCTACTTTTAGATGCTCACCGTAAGTGAAGTGCTTCAGTTAAAGACCGAAACTGAACCTGAACTGTTGTTTCTTAAAACCTGAATTAAAGCACTAAATGCTTTCAGTAGGACAATTTGAGTTGGCAATAAGTAATAACAGTTAACAGAATGTACAGACAGAATGTGCCTACAAAATCCAATCCATCAGTCATCCATCCTTTGCACTTTGGCTGACGTTTGTGAATTTTTTTTCATTTCAAAATCTAAGGCGGCAGATGCTGTTGTTGTGCTAGCAGATACTTTCCTTTCTGCTTTTGTTGTTTTGCTGTATTCTGCACATCAAGAGGGATGTCGTGTTTTCAAAGCTGGAGAGGTTCTTGGCAGTTGTACCACCTCTTGATACTCAGCATAAAATCGCTTGTCTAATGTCCTCATAGAAACTGTGAAGTAGTTCTACATGGCTGACTGTTTGTTCGCTGATCGGTTTGAATGCAAATCTATTTGAACGCTTGATAAATATTTATTAAGTGTTTATTAAATGACTTTGACACTTTGTTGTAGACCATTTTTCATTTTTGGAGAGTTTTTCAGCCTAAATATGTGGCCTTTTTTCTCTTTTGACTGAAAAACCATAAAGTGTCATATTTGATCATTTTCAGCCAAAATTTTGGTCATCCTTAATTTTGAAGGTTAATAGTTTTTAAAGGGAAAATAGCAGGTTATTATTGGTATAGGATATATTAAAGATTTTAACATCATTATCTGTGTTGAAAAAGTGTCATTGTGCCATTTCTAGTATGAACTGATACTTGAGATTTCAGTGTATTGTGCCATTTCTAATTCTGACTGGTTAAAGTCTTCCCAAACTTTCCAAACCCACCACAGACACTGACACTAATCTTGAACTTAGCATCTCCAGAGACTCTGCAGGCACTTGCAGTGAACATCTATGCACACATACAGTATCAGCAGCCTTCACCTTGACATGGCCAACATGTCACAAAGCGTCAGCCAAGATTTTCCGCCTTCACACTCGTGCCCACAGCCACTCAGAGCTGCAGCACACAAATCCCAAAGTTTAGTGGCTGACCTTGGCAAAGCGTGTGAAGAGGAAATTGGCTGTCAGCGCACAGTATTTTCGAAAAGAGAGACCAGCAGTCTGAAGAAGAAGACATCTCCTTCACTGTGAAATATGTGTGAGTGTGGTCCTTTGAACACTTCCAAATGGAAAATTTTGGTTACTGACCCATGAGCCCAAAAAATGAAAGTCTGTGTGTAATTAGTCAGATGTGGGTTGGCCGGATGCTGTTGGTGCTGTTGGTGACGGCCTACTGGCAGGCCATTATGAGGCAACCTATAATCGGCCCACAGGCGCTCCATTCAGCGACACTACACTGTTCTTTCCCTCACATTACACATTACTGTTCCAAAGCAGTGACTGCTCCAAATGTGGATTTTTTTTTCCTTTTTTTTTTCG